CGCGCGCCACACGCCGCTGTTGCACTTGAAACCCGACCCGAACGCGAGCTGCCACACCCGGTCACCTTTCGGATCCTCCCCTTCGCCTCCGCGTACGCCAGCTCGTACCATATCGAGCTGCTCGACGTGTTCCCAAATCTGTAGAGCGACATTCTAGAAGGTTCCATATCCCACTCCGTCAGCCGGAGATTCTTCTCCATCTTGTCCAGAACCCCTCTCCCGCCGGCGTGTATGCAGAAGTGCTCGAACGCCGTCTTGAAATCCGGCACGTGCAGCCTCACGTGCTTCATCTTCAGAACCTTTCTGGCCACCAGGGTGGCCAGAAAGAGGAGCTGCTCCGACGCCGGGAGGACCAGCGGCGACAGGCGCGTGATGTTCTTCTGGAGGGAATCTCCGGCGGCGGCCATCAGGTCCTTCGAGAGCGAGACGCCGACGATTCCATCGGCGTCCTCGTTCTGCGTCACGCTCGCGTAGGCTCTGTCGTCGGCGCCTGTGTGGGTGCGGACGGTGTGGGTGAGCTGGTACTTGGAGCGGCGGCGGTCGGAGGAGCGGTTCGATAGGAGGATGGCGGCGCCGCCCATGCGGAAGAGGCAGTTGGGGAGGAGCTTCGATCGGTCTTTGCCGGTGTAGAAATTTGACACGCATTCCAGAGTCATGACTAGCGCGTACGTGTTGGGTTGTACCTGTCATTATTAACAGAAAATGTGTACAGTCTATTATAACTTTTAATAAATAGGTGAGAAATAAAAGAAAATATATGAACTGTATCAAGTCTATTACCTATAATTAAAAAAAAAATCCGTAAAAAGTCACATTGTAGGGGGTTGGTGTAAGACGGAAACAAGCCTCAGGGTTTTTTTGGTAATTACAAATATGTGGGAGCGTTTTTCTTTATTTAGCCTAAGTTCATGAGGGTTTTCGTAATTTAACCTTATTAAAACTTTCAATTTTCTCCCAAATTAAATTTTATACCAACTATAAACCTTTTTAATCTCGTGATCATTGTTAACGATGCAATCTCGTGATCGTTGTTAATCACAAGTTCAACCGTTTAATTTTCTAATTTTAAAAGGTTTAAGGGTGCGTCGGACTCGAAAATTATCGAGCTCCGACCATTAATACCTAATCACCAAATATATATGTATATGGTTAAGGGACAAAGATATTACTTGTAATAGCCGCTTTGCAAGGTCGATACTAATTACTCCGGCACTGCAACCCATGCCGCCTAAGTTGCAGCTCACCACATCGCCCCTCAGCTTGTAACGGTTGATGATCATGGAAGAAAGTGACGGCGTAGGGTTAAAAGAGGAAATATTAACGACAAGAATGCCGATATCTTTAGGGTTCACTCGAGTTTTCTCGAACAAGTTATCAATGGCCCCAAATATAACGGCTTTCGCTTCTTCCTTAGTGGATTCAAAGATTTGTTTTGGCGGGAATTCCTTAAGGCCGGGGACATAAGTCATGTCACCCAGTCCGGACTTTTCTAGAACCTTCTTCACGAAAACCCCGCAATCTTCGCTTATGAATTTCGAAACTTTTTCGGTAACCTCGTCTCTAGTGCACATTAAAGAAGAATCGGGCTTGTAACAAGCGAAGTCGACCAGATAAACGGCTCTGGGGCGGCTCATGAAGTAAGCGGTGGCCAACACCGCCACTAGAGAGGTGCATGCGAGAACGGTGAGGGTGTTGTATCGGAGGTGGTAGTTGGACGCTTCGAGTGCATGTTGGAGGTCGCTAGTCGAGAGATTAGCCGCAACTGCAAGAAGAAGAGGGATTGTTAAGAGGTACATTGCGTTGGAAATTAGGTAATGAAACCCTAGTTTCACGTATTTGAGCCGAATCGAGGAACGGAAGTCGGGTTCTCCGTTCAGGGTTTTTGTGGTGTTGGATTTTTGACCTTGTGATGTCATTTTTTATGTGTGGTATATTACTTTTTTCTTGATCGATGAGGGAAAATGGTGAAAACGAGTTGGATATTTATGTATGTGAAATCTTGAATGAGCATTTGATTCTTATTATTTTTATTTTTACCTAACCCCTGTCTATATTATTATAAATTTGAGGTTACTACTACCCTTCCGAAAAGGGAATCTTTAAGCCTATTTTTAGATTTTCACTTTTTTGGATATATATTGGGTAATTACGGCCACCCTTGATGTATGATCAAATTACGAAAACCCTCTTTTGTATGGGTATTACACAAATATAAATTTAGTGAAATCTTTTAAATTACATGGAATATTCTCAATTTTGTACCCGTTTTATCTCATTCGAGCTCCACATTTTGAAGCATCATATATAAGATGTGTTTTTTGGCTTGTATATATATATCAGATTGTGGTGCATCAGAAGTTGCATTTTTACACAAAACGAGTGAACTAGAGAACATTTCACGGAATCTAGAAGGTTATGTTTGTGGACGTGTAAGAAGATTCATAGTTAAGGGTAATTGTAATTACCGAAATATGAGGGTGGTTTTTGTAATTTAATATTATTTGAAGAGTTGGTTGTAATTTACTTGTGAAGTTAAATTCACCAAAATTTGGACCACGTCGTAGCTACAGATTTAGTGTTACATGCAAGTGAACAATTTTAATTTTTAAATGCAGAATTAGAGTATACCAAACCTAAGTATTTAATTATATCTAATGCAACTCAGTACTCTATATCCATAATTAGGGGTACAGTGGTGGCAATTGGGACAATGTGAGACTTCATTAATATATGCGATTGGCCTAATTTTACTTAATAATAAATGGTAAAATACAAATGCCCATCATACTATATAAATAATATTTAAAATAGAATATCAAGTTATAAAAAAAAATAAAAAAAAACCAATTAAAAATCTAAGTATTTATAAGATAGCATAAAAAAATACTAATAATGAAAATTGAAAAAAAAATGATGTATTCATTTAATTTGATTCATGTTATATTAGGTGAGTTGTTCGTTGGTTGGTATTGTAAAAAAAATATTATAACTTTTGGGTTATTCGCAAAACAAAAACGAGCAAAATCGACTTATTACTTCCTCTTCGTCGTGGATCGATTGTACGTAGATGGTTTGTCACCCATACCTCAGATAGTACTCATTCAAACGTAAATAGAAAAACACGAATATAGTTTATATAATAGTCGAAATATTTGAAGCAATTTTCAGAGCATCGACACGTATAACTAATGTTAACTCGCTAGCCGTTTGGAGATTGATGTTTTGTCGAAAAATAAAATTTCTAGGTAAACCCTTATCGCATCGAGACGGATATCGGACATCTTAAATTTCATAAACTGCATTTAATTGATATCAATACAACAAAGTTATAACTTCCTTCAAGTAAAATATTTATGAATTAATTAAACAAATAATTACACATATTATTTTCTCTCAAATTTAAGAATCAATTAATTTACATTCGCCACCCTCGGCACCTCAACCGGAAAATCATCAATCTCATCCATCCAAGGATTCTTCTCCCGAACCGGGTCGACCCGCTTCAAAGCCCGCCAAACCGCGCTATTACACTTAAAGCCCGACCCGAACGCAATTTGCCAAACCCTATCCCCCTTCATAATCCTCCCCTTAGCCTCACAATAAGCCAACTCATACCACAAAGAGCTACTCGAAGTATTCCCGAATCGATAAAGAGTCATTCTAGAAGGTTCCATATGCCACTCGCTCAAATCGAGATTCTTCTCGACCTCGTCGAGCACCGCCCGCCCGCCCGCATGCACGCAGAAATGCTCGAACGCGAGCTTGAAATCGGGTATGTAAGGCTTGATGCTCTTCATCTTGAGAATCTTTTTAGCGGCGAGTGTGAGGAGGAAGAGGAGCTGCTCCGATGTGGGGAGGACCAGCGGCCCTAGGGTGGTGATGTTGGTCTTGAGGGCTTCTCCGGCGACCGACATTAGGTCTTTGGAGAGAGAAACTCCAATTTGTCGGGTTTCGTCTTCTTGTTGGTAGACGCACGTGTGGCTTTTTTGGTCGGAGCCGGTGTGGGTGCGGACGGTGTGGAGGAGCTGGTACTTGGAGCGGCGGCGGTGGGTGGGGTTGTTGGAGAGGAGGATGGCGGCGCCACCCATGCGGAAGATGCAGTTTGAGACGAGCATTGACCGGTCGTTGCCGAAGTACCAGTTTAGGGTTATGTTCTCGGTGCTTACCACCAAGGCGTAGGTATTTTTGTTGACCTGTGTTGGAAGTGTATTTAGTGAGCAGTTATTTATCAAATTTACGGTTGAAATTCATCCGATCTAAATAATCAGGTATAGTAAGCATACATATTTCCTAGAAATTTAGAAAATAAAAAATATAATAGAAAAAATATAATTATTACTATAAAAAAATTATCTAGAAATTTTAGAAACAAATTAATACCGAACCAATATTTAAGATTCCGTTCGGTACAAACCAAACTTTAGTTTTCAATAAAATTGGTTAGGCTAATTCTGTATCTCCCATCTAACTTCATCAATGCATCATAAACTCGTAATAAATACTACTACTATTACTACTACTAATAATTAATAATGATTAATATTTCCCTTTTAATTGCCGTTTTTAATTTTGTACATGGATTAAGAATTTCATTAAATGTGTCTTGATTTTAAGAAAAATGTATGTTTTTAGACTAAAATCACCTTATTTTATAATTAGTAAGAGAGAGAAATGAATTAAAACTGAATATTAGAAATATTTAATAAAGATATAAAGTGGAAATTATGTAATTAATGCATTATTGGAAATCTAAATTGACAAATAATATGGAAAAAATAATTTTAAGAAGAAACAGTTACTATGGAACAAATGAAGTAATGATTAAAAAGGGTAAAACAAAACCTCCAAAAGCTGTTTGGCAAGATCAATTGAGATCAATCCAGCACTGCAACCCATGCCACCAAGATTATAGCTCAAAATATTCCCCCTAAGCTTGTAATGGTTCACAACCATAGCCGAAAGCGACGGCGTCGGATTGAACAAGCTACAATTCACCACGAGTATCCCAATATCCTTCGCCCTAATCCCCGTTTTCGCCAACAAATCGTCAATCGCACCAAACATGACCATTTGTGCCTCCTTGCGGGCCTCGGCCATGCTGGGGCTGGCCGGGACCCGCATTAGGGCTTCCGGAAAGTAGGTCTTCTGGCCCAGTCCGGATCTTTCCATGATCCTCTTCTGAAAGTCCAGATTCTCCTGCGTAAAAGTCCCGGCGCGTCTCGACCGGTCCATGAACATTTCCTTGCTACACATGACCTCTTCCGGCTTGTAACAGGCGAAGTCGACTAGGTAGACTTTTCTAGGCCTTGTCATGAAGTGAAGTGTGGCTAGAAAGACCATTAGCGTGGAGCAAATGACAAACGAGAAGGAATTGGATTTGAGTAGGTCCCACAATTGGAGTAGATCGTGTGTCGTGAGAGACGAGAGATGGAGGGGGAATAGGGCTAGTAAGGGGAGTAGGAATAAGTAGACGACGGCGTGCGAGATCAAGTGGTGGTAGCCGAGTTTGACGTATTTGAGACGAACGGATTGGTGGAAGTTTGGAAGTGGTGATTTGGATTCGATCGAGATCTTTCCCGTTTCGGGTTGTCGGTTTTGATCGTTTCCGTTCGCCATTGTATTGTTGATCAACAAAAAATCTCTTTATGCAATTAGCCTAGTAAATCAAATTCAAGTACTAAAAAATTTGGTGTGGAGTCCTATATTTTGAGAATTTTATTAGTGATGGAGGTGAAAAAGAGTGTGTGTGTGTGAGAGAGAGAGAGAGAGAGAGAGAGAGATGGTGAAAGTTGGAGGGAGAAATATATGTATTTAAAAGGAGAAAATATTGCCTGAGGGGGTGGGGGGGGGAAGCCAACCACCACAACGAACTTTTAGTAGTAATAAGCGTTGTGGCGTTTAAATTGCCAAACGGGGAAAAGGCGGGTTTCACGCTAAACACGCTTTACTGTTGTGCAATTGTGTATACGTGTTAGTTTCGACTTTCTAATATGCAAATGTGAAATGTGTGTGTGGTCCTCCACTTGCTTGGTTAATTCCTCTTTTGCCACTCCTGTGCACGTGGCAGGAGGAGATTGGAGTTGATGTTTTATTTGGTAATTAATTGGATTTTGTATTTTTTTTTTGTATGGAAAGTAAATAAATAATATATTATTTATGTATAATATGACTTTTTATCTACTTTCATATCGTAGTTGATCTACTAAATTTTGATATTTCAACAAATTTTAGGTGTATAAGATATTGTCGTCACACGTGCCGAAATGAACTGAGATGTTTTTTTCTCCTATAAAGTTACTTCAATAATGAAAGAAATCAATAGTTAAATTTCATCTGCAAACATTTTATTTTTTGTAACGAAGAAATTCACTGCCCAACCGTGTAAGTGCACTGGATAAACTTACACTCTCGTATAATAGCATACGAGAGACGTAAACCAGTGAACTTGAGTTAGTTTGATTCTTGTCATTTGAGCAAATTATTAACTACTCCCTTCGTTCCCTATTATGTGTCGTTTTTTGATTTGCACAAGTATTAAGAAGCTCAATAAATGTATCTTGATTTTAGGTAAAATATATTAGAAAGACTAAAATAACCTTAATTATTATGATGTGATAAGAGAGAGTTAATACTTATTGTTGAATTAATAAGGTTAAAAAATGAAAAAAATGCATTTAATGCAGTATTGGAAATCTAAAGTGACAGATAATATGGAACAAAAATATTTTAAAAAAGAGACAGTTATTATGGAACAGAGAGAGTACTAAATTTTATAGGAATAATTGAACTCGACAGTAGCAAAGGAAGGATGGCTCAAACTTCTACTTTGGTGATTAAGAAACAAATTTGATCAAATCAATGAAAATTAAAGAAAAGTGCACAATGTTAGGTAGATATCATTAAATTTTGACAGACAAAAACTGATAAGTAGCTGTCCAACTTAATTATTTTGGATTTTTGGTTTTGCTTTTGGTCAAACATTCACACTATTTTTCGATGATTATTTATGCTTTTATAATTATTTTTTATTAAAACATTTTATGGGCTTTCTTAATTGAAAAAAATTAGTGCATGGGTTGAATCAGAGGTTATGAAACATGAATAGGGCTTCTAAGAGGTATCAAATTAAAGCCCGGCCCATTTAATATATATTGGGCCCATGGGATTGACTGCTAGCTAGATAACTATTACAAATTCCATATTATCAGTGTGTGTGTGTGTGTGTGTGTGTTTATGAATTAAATAATATAATAATTGTATTATATATTTTGGATCCTACTTTTTATTCTCGACAAAAATGATCTTGTTCCCCAAAAAGAAATATATATATTATTTTCCAAAATAAAAACAAAATAGACAGAAATATATAATAATTAAATATTATAAGGTTTAGTTGCATCACAGCCTTTCATTTGCTTCAAGAGCCATTCAAGTGAAGTATTGAGTAACCCTCAATCTTATGGTTGAATGAAATTACTCTTATTCTTGTAATATTTTTCTAATATATAATGAGAAAAATTAGTAATATTTGATGTTAATTATGTGTTAGTGTTTATTGTAAGACCATCATTATTAGATTTTTTTTTCTTACGTTAAAAAAGACTACGTACTGAGTGGTCGATCTTTTCAGTGTGCATCTCTATATAGAACTGTAAACTGGAACATAAGTTTCTGTAATGACTTTATGATTTTTTTTGGGTTGGAATTAATTTGCTATTTTTTTTTTCTTTTGTTCAATTTTTAAAAGTAATACGGGAACTTTATGTGTTTCAAAATTATGTATATTTTATATTTATAAATATAAATTTTCTATGTAAATAATGTCATATTATATACACATTAATAAACCATTAAAAAGAAAAAAAAAAGGAAAATAGCAATAACAAATGCGGTTAGGTTAAAGTCGTGCCAACTTTGAGAGGTCATTGTAAATTCAAGAATAATTATTAGCCGTTTAATATAAAATTACCAATGTTAATCATTGTATTTTTTATTAAATGTCACACCAAAAAAAATTGATTGTATTTTAATATTAGAAATTTAGAAGTTGCAATCAATTAAGAACAAGAAAAGTGATGTGCATATCTAATGCGCATGCCACCTTTTTGTTATCACATCCAAAAATATCTTCCCATTGGTCATTTCTTTTTTAAGGTCATCTAATAGGTCCAATTATATAAAATGATTCCTATATATATATATATATATATATATATATATATATATATATATATATATATATATATATATATAT